TACGACCAGCTTTTTCAACCGGTGCAGAGCTCCCCCTCCTCCCGTTTAACAGCATTTATAAATGGTGTGAAACCTTGAGCAAGGAGGTCCGCAAGGAGGAGCAAGACAAAACAGACTACCGATAACAATAGAAACCCTACCAATTGTTTAATTTCTTCCGATGTGTGGACTTCACCTGTATGCAGAGATTGGACTCCGAGGTTAATGCATGTGTAGATGATGTGACAATTCACGAGGAATACATTGTGGTGCAGTTAGAAAGACAGACACTGTTCACTTATTTAAAACGCCAAAAAAATGTGCCCTTATGATAATATGACCATGTATTTACAGATACGCAACAACATGAACATACCCGGATGTTGTGAACTGTTTATAACTCCCACGAATGTAGTGTTAACCAGACAATTGACCATTGACTGTTTGAAACGCACACTTATAGAAACAGGGATGGAACCGGAACTGTATACGTACAATGGACACTCCTTGGGGTCAGACTCCAACAATGTCTATGACCATTTAAATAAGACGCTAGGACGCTGGTCTTCTGACACGTAGACACATGAGAACGACAAAAAAAAGATATAACAGACTCAATGTGCCGTGGATAGTACGACAGCGTTAACGTTAGGGTATATGTGTATATGAGAACTGTTGAGCATGCGTTTGAGTTCAGGACAATTTATGTTGCATGCATGTAATTACAATGGATAAGTGTGACTATCTTCGTTAAGGTACAATTGTCTAGAGACATTTTGAGAAGTTAGTTGTCAATTGTGGAATAAATATTTTTTTATTTTTTTTTGCTCAGATATTGAAAGAAAGACCGATATTATGTAGGGCATGGAATGATATATGAGCTTTAAGTGTATTTCCTGTAGTAGTGGACAAAGATAGTATTATGACATCTTACTTGTAAATAGGTTAGCAGGTTTCACATTCACTCTGTACCAGTTGAAGTAACTGCTAATAGCTAGCCTCATACTTACTTGTAACTGTCATTACCGCGTGTATACAACAGGTAACAGTTTGTCGTATTTTTATGTTGTTTCTAGGTGTTTAGGCATCTTTTGACGTATTAAAGTTACTTGATACGTAAAGTATGTAGGTTAGCAGGTGATCACGTTATGAATACACAAAATACAAACAGCAAACCAAAATTTCAGATAATGCAATAATTTGAAAAACACTTCCTCCGCTCTCCTCTCACAAACAACAGCCAATTAAATGCAGCCAAAGCCTTCAAAGAGAAGCAAATGTCCTACAAAACACTGAGCGAAGTTCTCTTACCAAAACACCCTTGGGTATTACAAACAATTTCGAAAATGTTTGCCAGTGGGAATTACATTTCTCTTACCCTGGACAGACTTATCCTTACTTTTACCGGTGTGAGATTTCCTTGTCTCACCCTAGGGTTGAGACAAGCTACGCGTGCTCTTTGCACGTTCTCCACAATAAACCTTACGTCACTGATGTGATCCGGAAGAATAACTACTTTTATGAGGTCACACACATACACAAGTTCGTCTGCTCATCTTGTCGTGTTTTCATTAGACATCAACGAAGACGGGATTGATTTTAAAATGTTTAAAAATATGATGTGTGAACCGTCTGACGCATACATATAATATTAATACGCTATCGACGTGTTCCTGTTTACAAACATTATGCTTCGTCTTACACTGGGACAGGAACAACAGGGTAGGAGAAAAATAATCATTCACCCCCTCGGGGATGAGATATGGCGATCTCAACCCTCGGGGGAAGATTCTTAGGTTGCCAAACACTCGGCAAAGCCTCGTGTTTGGCAAATCAAGAATCTTCCCCCTCGGGGGAAGATCCCCCTATCTCACCCCCAAGGGGATGAAAGAGTTTATTAGTCTCGCGCCTCTATGCGGGCCGCCATTTCAGTGGAAATACCATCTTACAGTAACCCTTATATTAATGACAAGTGCAATCGATGCTATAACCACACACAGTTATGCTTCGATCCTTCAATGCTTGCGTTGTTCATGCTGTAGCGATATTTGTTGTCAAGCGTGACGTCATTACGATATGACGCCAAAGATTACGATATAATATCCCGAACTGTTTTGAGACAGTAACATTTGTGTCGAAATTATTAATAAACGTAGAATATAATATTTAGTGCATGTCCTTATGTGCCACCGTAGCATTGAAGCAGTTCAATCTCTGGTATGCTATAATAAAAATGCAAATACTGAAAATGAGAATAGATATGTCAAAAACCACCACCCAAATAGCTAAGACTTGTTCGCACTGTTCACCAACGTGCCTTAAAAGACACAATTTCCTCATTTAACATGTATTCTATTTCGAACCCCACCCCCATTCCCCCTAAGTAGATAACGGGGTCTCACTCTCTGCATCCGTCATTGTTAATGGACTGAGGTCACAATTAAATGCTTCCGGGTTCCGGGTTCAGTACCCACGAATGAAGTCCCTTAGAAATATAGGTACTTTAGTAAAAACTATACTATGCCTCTTAGAACTTGGTGTTTGTGTAAAAGTTTGGTGTTAAAATACTGTGGAGATATCAATCTAACAATTTCTGTGTCAAATTTTTATATTGTGCATTTATTTTTTGGTGCAGGGTGCTGTGTGAAAAGGCCTGTGTTTACCTCTACCCCTGACCCGGAAGTTTATTTTTGACATTGGTGACACCTGCAGACGATTATCTCAAGAAAAAGGCCAACATGCTATGTTGAAATTTTGATATTTTACTCCCAAGATGTTGCTCTTGACCAGGTTAGATGGAAAGTTGGCTATCGGATATTGGGAATTTGTTATGAAATTAAATGTTACAATGAAACATATAGTAAAATTAATTGTGGTCTTAGTCCTATATNCCCTGACCCGGAAGTTTATTTTTGACATTGGTGACACCTGCAGACGATTATCTCAAGAAAAAGGCCAACATGCTATGTTGAAATTTTGATATTTTACTCCCAAGATGTTGCTCTTGACCAGGTTAGATGGAAAGTTGGCTATCGGATATTGGGAATTTGTTATGAAATTAAATGTTACAATGAAACATATAGTAAAATTAATTGTGGTCTTAGTCCAATGCTACGCCCTACTGCAGATCAGTACATTCATACAGCTCAGGTCTCAGACATGAACTAACAACCAGAGACGTATAAAACCTGTGCGTAGGGTGAGATTAACCAAAATGGAACACGTTGGATATATATATATATGCCGCAGCAATTTTTAATTTGCAATCAATAGTAATGTTATATATTCTCAATCAAAATTTAGATAGTTTTATGCATTTTGAACGAATATCATCTGCCTACCTCTAAACATTGCTCATAAACTCAGAATACTTAAAAAATGAAATGAAAAAAATCCCGGGAAATAGTACGATGCGAAAACACAAGTTTTTAATCATATTTCTAAACATGGAAAAGTATATGTTCAAACGCATATTTTAGGGAATAAATAGGCCTAAGTAAATTTGTTAGAAATTGTCAGGTTTTTTGTATGTAGAAAATAATTTAAATGCTGTCAGTCATTATCACAAACACACTTATAAGATGAAGTGTTCCATTTTGGGTACTCGACCAGCTAAAAATTCCAAGTGAATCTGACGCACTTTAATGAGCTCTATATAAATAAACACACTTTTTAATTGATGTTGATACCCAAGAATTACATCTACATCTACTTAGTAATGACCATCTTCATCTATTTGAAGATCATGTCATGTGATAGTGGGTGCTAGGCCAAGAGAAGATAAATCACAGTAATCTTCCATCATTGGAAATCTCGATAGAGATTGTTGCGATGCCTCTTGAAAAGATATTGAATTGATAGTGAATTAAAGGGAATATATTTATAAAGTAAGATACATTAGATGAAGGCTAAAGGCATGTATAGTTTCATTACAGTAAAAAAATGGTCTTTCAGAAACTTTACAGGAAATATTAATATTTTTCTTTAAAAGAATGTTCCCAGAGACGTATACTTCTCTTACCCTGGACATGTGTTTCTCTTACCCTGGACTAGCTAGGATATCCACCATTTTACCGGTGTGAGATTTTCTTATCTCACCCTAGGGTTGAGACAAGCTACATGTGTTCTTTGCACGTTCTGAACAATTGTATGACGTCGTAGCAACAATACCATGACGTCACGGCAACAATACAATGACGTCACGTCGACAATTCAGCCGCATCCATCACATCAACATTGTCTTGCATTGATGTAACGTCTATATAAAATACATAAGAGGGTAAACAGCAAACCTCATGTTTGACAACTTAAGAATCTTACCCCTCGGGTTGAGATTACCCTGTCTCACCCCCAATGGGATGAAAGATTCTATTAATCCGCACTTCACCCTAGGGTTGAGACGGGGGGATTCCCCTATTCATAACAATGGTATGACGTCACTTCAACAATACCATGACGTCACGTCAACAATCCATCAACGTCACGTCAACCCTGAATTTAGCATGTAGCGTTATCATTACATTGTGCATATGATAAACATTGGGAGAACAGGGTAAGAGAAAAAGAATCCTTCACTCATTCATTTTTCGGTTAAAAGCTCATTAGAGCTTATGTTTTGTCGTTTGTAACTATACCGAATTTAAATAAAGCTTTCATATACACCCCCATGTGGGTGAGATAGGGGAACCTCAACCCTCGGGGAAAGATTCTTAAGTTGCCAAACAATCGGCAAAGCCTCATGTCTTGCAACATAAGAATCTTCCCCCTCTGGTTGAGATTACCCTATCTCACCCCCAAACGTACATTTACATGAATGTAGCTACCGCTTATTTTAACTTCACTAAATATATTACCTAGTAATATATCAATAAACTTTTAAGTTGACGCGTAATATCATATAATTCGATCTGCATCGATATGCATATATATATATATTGCCTTGTTGTACCTTTTTCCGATTTGAATTGACTTGCGGTATTATTCAGATCACCCGTCGGGAACCTCGCCACCGGATGCGGAAATGTTGGATGCAATATTCCAAAAATGGCGACTGGGTGCTTCCAGAAACTTACGTGAATTGTAATTGACTGCTGCTGAGGATATACGTACAGGTAATTGTAAAACTTAACTTAATATATTCGCATGTTTATATTGATATGATATTTTATACACCATATAACTCGGAGCTTGTTTAATGGGCAACTCTTCGTGTCGGCTTGTTTAGGTTTTCAGTGTCAGGTTATCAGAGTTCATCATCCGTATTCTATTACATGCTTGGATTTCTATGTTTTGTCGATGTATGGTTTAAATGAGTTTACTACATAGAAATTGCATTATACAATGTTGTTGTCATATTATCGAAATGGTTTTGACTATTTGTTGAAATGTAAACACACATGTTTGAAGTCGTGCATTTTGGAGATACGTCACCTGTTTTGACGGATATTATATTTCTTGTTTTCTTTTAGTACTCATGATCAGTGTCTTAAGATGAAATTTTCCGAATAAACGAAGTAGATCCTAATTAAAACAGGGATGTTCTTAACATTGTTTTTAAAAAAAAAAGTTTTGTCATTATAAGTTTTAACTGGAAAATCTTTTGAAAATACTCAAAGAAAGTAGTGTGCTCCCACGATCACCGACTTGCTACATTGTTGTTGGTAGCTGCGATAACGTAGCTTTCTGACAATGAGAGTTTTTTTTTGATATATTGCGTCGTCAGAGCTGCGAAGCGGTACTATGCCAACTAATGGAGCAAAATCAAAAGTGTCAATATGTAAGATTTCATATAATTCACGCCTCATATGAGTATAATGTTATCAAAATATTGCATAATTGTTGAAAAAACGAATCTTTACCCTTGCAAAAACACTTTTACGAAATTAACAAAGTCTGTCATGGGGAAAAAATAGAAACAACTGCCATGACGGATCACGCGTGATGTTATCTCAATTATCCTTTCTATATATGGCCTGTATGGCCAAATATAGTATTACTACTGAATTTATTGCCGCCATGTTTACTACAATTTCCATATTGGGTCATGACACCCATATTTGGACGTCTGACCTATATCGGAAGAGAGACGAAGTTTCCAACACGGCGGTCAATTCAGATTTCGATTACGCTTGCTACGTTAACTTGATAATTTAACGACATTTTAGGCAGAGGTAAACTTCAATTTGTGCAGGATATCAACAGAAATAGTTCATACTACAACTTTATTTATGGATGCGGACCAATGTGCTGTCAATTAATTCTAAAATCGCCCCGGTGTGATTCACACCAGGCTTGCTCCATTACAAGGCATGGGATCGATTTAATACCCGGCCGGGGCAGAGGAGGTCGGGTATTAATATTAGTTCTATGTTGTTGGATGGTCTATCACTGAGCTAAAAGGAAATTCTCTCTAGCATGAAACTGGAAGGCGACCGTAATCAAAATCTGCCACACTACTACCCCTATTTTTTTAAAAATGTGTTCCCTTTACAATACAATGAAAACTTGTTCAATCCTATTGTCGTGATCAAATGACGCTAGTATATGACCTGTTCTGTGCACGTGCCCATCAGATGGGCACAGAACAGGTCATATACTGGCGTCATTTGATCACTATCACAGACTATTATGAGCTATAAATAGATGGCATCTATTTATAGCTCATAACAGCCTGTGATAGTGCTATGACAAAATATTAAATACCGGTATGTAAGTATCTGGAGAAAATGTTTACAAAATCACTTTGATTTTCCAGTACATTTTATAGTGTCTGAATTCAAACTGAATTGTTGACCCATAACGGTTAGACAATCACTATGTAGGTCTATGGGAATCATTTAGTACTGTTCTAGTGTATGTCTATGGGAATCATTAGTACTGGTCAAGTGTATTGTCTATGGGAATCATTAGTACTGGTCTAGTGTATGTCTATGGGAATCATTAGTACTGGTCTAGTGTATGTCTATGGGAATCATTAGTACTGGTCTAGTGTATTTCTATGGGAATCATTAGTACTGGTCTAGTGTATGTCTATGGGAATCATTAGTACTGGTCTAGTGTATGTCTATGGGAATCATTAGTACTGGTCTAGTGTATGTCTATGGGAATCATTAGTACTGGTCTAGTGTTTGTCTATGGGAATCATTAGTACTGGTCTAGTGTATGTCTATGGGAATCATTAGTACTGGTCTAGTGTATGTCTATGGGAATCATTAGTACTGGTCTAGTGTATGTCTATGGGAATCATTAGTACTGGTCTAGTGTATGTCTATGGGAATCATTAGTACTGGTCTAGTGTATGTCTATGGGAATCATTAGTACTGGTCTAGTGTATGTCTATGGGAATCATTAGTACTGGTCTAGTGTATGTCTATGGGAATCATTAGTACTGGTCTAGTGTATGTCTATGGGAATCATTAGTACTGGTCTAGTGTATGTCTATGGGAATCATTAGTACTGGTCTAGTGTATGTCTATGGGAATCATTAGTACTGGTCTAGTGTATGTCTATGGGAATCATTAGTACTGGTCTAGTGTATGTCTATGGGAATCATTAGTACTGGTCTAGTGTATGTCTATGGGAATCATTAGTACTGGTCTAGTGTATGTCTATGGGAATCATTAGTACTGGTCTAGTGTATGTCTATGGGAATCATTAGTACTGGTCTAGTGTATGTCTATGGGAATCATTAGTACTGGTCTAGTGTATGTCTATGGGAATCATTAGTACTGGTCTAGTGTATGTCTATGGGAATCATTAGTACTGGTCTAGTGTATGTCTATGGGAATCATTAGTACTGGTCTAGTGTATGTCTATGGGAATCATTAGTACTGGTCTAGTGTATGTCTATGGGAATCATTAGTACTGGTCTAGTGTATGTCTATGGGAATCATTAGTACTGGTCTAGTGTATGTCTATGGGAATCATTAGTACTGGTCTAGTGTATTGTCCATGGGATTCATTAGTACTGGTCTAGTGTATGTCTATGGGAATCATTAGTACTGGTCTAGGGTATGTCTATGGGAATCATTAGTACTGATCTAGGAATCATTTAGTACTGTTCTAGTGTATGTCTATGCGAATCATTAGTACTGGTCTAGTGTATTGTCTATGAGAATCATTAGTACTGGTCTAGTGTATGTCTATGGGAAAATCATTAGTACTGGTCTAGTGTATGTCTATGGGAAAATCATTAGTACTGGTCTAGTGTATGTCTATGGGAAAATCATTAGTACTGGTCTAGTGTATGTCTATGGGAAAATCATTAGTACTGGTCTAGTGTATGTCTATGGGAATAATTAGTACTGGTCTAGTGTATGTCTATGGGAATCATTAGTACTGGTCTAGTGTATGTCTATGGGAATCCTTAAGTACTGGTCTAGTGTATGTCTATGGGAATCATTAGTACTGATCTAGTGTATGTCCATGTGAATCATTAGTACTGGTCTAGTGTATGTCTATGTGAATCATTAGTACTGGTCTAGTGTATTGTCTATGGGAATCATTAGTACTGTTCTAGTGTAGGTCTATGGGAATCATTAAGTACTGTTCTACATTTGCAGTGTAGGTCTTTGGGAATTATTTAGTACTGTTCTAGTGTAGGTCTATGGGAATTTTTTAGTACTGTTCCATTGTAGGTCTCTGGGAATATTTAGGTCACCTGAGACAAATTAAGTCTCAAGTGACCTATTGCGATTGCCTTTTGTCCGTCGTGCGTCTGTAAACAATTTACATTTTCAACTCCTTCTCCAAAACCCCTAAACCAATTTCAATGAAATTTTGCAGGGACCTTCCATGGACAAAGGTCAACAAAAATAGTGGCCGGTTTAGTCCCAAGCCCCCAGGGGCCTGAGGGGCGGGGCCAAAAAATGTCAAATTGACTAATATTTCAAAAATCTTCTTCTCCAAAACCTCTGAACCAATTTCAATGAAATTTTGCAGGGACCTTCCATGGACAAAGGTCACCAAAAATAGTGGCCGGTTTAGTCCCAAGCCCCCAGGGGCCTGAGGGGCGGGGCCAAAAAAAGTCAAATTGACTAATATTTCAAAAATCTTCTTCTCCAAAACCTCTGAACCAATTTCCATGAAATTTTGCAGGGACCTTCCATGGACAAAGGTCACCAAAAATAGTGGCCGGTTTAGTCCCAAGCCCCCAGGGGCCTGAGGGGCGGGGCAAAAAGGGTCAAATTGACTAAAATTTCAAAAATCTTCTTCTCCAAAACCTCTGAACCAATTTCAATGAAATTTTGCAGGGACCTTCCATGGACAAAGGTCAACAAAAATAGTGGCCGGTTTAGTCCCAAGCCCCCAGGGGCCTGAGGGGCGGGGCAAAAAGGGTCAAATTGACTAAAATTTCAAAAATCTTCTTCTCAAGACCCAGATATAGTAGAATCAAATACTCTTCATAGATGGAAGGGTCTTAAGGTTTATGACCCTAGGGTCTCACGTTTACCCCCTGGGGAAGGAGGGGGGGGCAACATTTATTATGGTTTATAATGGCAAATGATACTTTGAATATTACATGTTAATAACTTGGTTGGACTTATAACCTTGAGTTGACAGTTTGATACTTTGAAAATTTTGAACCGGCCCTACCCCCAAGGGCTGTAGGGTGGGGCTCAAAGGAGTCAGTGTGCTAAAATTTCTTCATTCAACTCTCTGTATAAATACATCAGGTGACCGTTAAGGCCCAAATTGGGCCTCTTGTTGAGGACTGTTCTAGTGTAGGTCTATGGCTTATTTTGTTTTGTTTACTATAGATATGTAAATTAAACAGCTTAGTTGTTTTTGATTACTATAGATATGTAAATGGCTTAGTTGTTAAGCCGCTCTTGGCAAGAGCCGAGCGGCTTATTAATTCTGTCCAGAGTACGAAATGACTTCGGTTCGGGGTGCGTGCGCATAATTCAGTCTTGCATGCTTCCGCTATATAATTTCGTTATTGTAAATAGAAAGTAGAATCTCTGAAACTCACCTGTGGGTTACATGAAGTCTTCTGATACTCTTCTCTAAATAATAATCCATACTTTAAATAATTGCTGAAAACAAAATGTTTATCTCCGGTGCATTCTACATGTGCTGTGGTGGTGAAATTCGTGAACTAGGTTTGAGC